CCCCAAAACCCCAAAACCCCAAAACCCCACTTAAGGGAGATTTTATAGAAAATAAGGAAATGAAAGCAGCTAATGTTAGTAGGAAGTTGATAGTTCCGTATCTGACGTTTGAGAGTATGATATTTGCATTCATGGTTCTTGTTCAGCTTGGAAATGCAGGGCATGATGTTTATGTGGCTGGAACTTTGATGAATGAATTAGGATCGAGGAGGTCGTTAAGTTGGTGTATAAGGTTTATGTGGATGGCTATTATATCAGGAATTTTGGCATTACTTAACAAACAATTCAGACTTCCGACTCGTCAAGAGACTCCTCATATCTTACTTGCTGGCGTGCTACACTTGTTTATGGGATACATGCTATTTGTCAAAACAACTATTGTCTACAACTTTCATATTGTGATACTTTGGCAACCAATCTTTCCTATTATCATTATGTGATGAGCTATATTCTTCAGAATGGACAAATGGACCAAATTCAAAAAAATCGGAGCTTCATTATCAATAGTGGCATCCATCTGCTTAATCATATTTTATAACATTTTCTGAGACGGATTTCAGTTGAACTTCTTTATAGTTCCTCATATTGTTGCTGCAGCAGCTGGGGCTATCAATCTAGGGCTGTCCATGCGATGGGGGATTGGAGCGTTTACACACTTATTCTGGATGGCTCTTGTTGGGACAACCACTTGATTTGTATTTTACTCATTTGAGTACTGGGTTGATCCTAAGCCTCCATTCATCAGCTATACTTATCAATTAGGGATGTTCAAAATGGGCATGACTTTCACTTTCAGAGTGATATCAGACACAATAGGCGAATCCATATTTGTGTTTATTGCTTCAAAGAACCAGATTATTCTGGCTTCTGTTTACTCGTCTCTGTATTCTATCTTTGTGATATTAATATACATCTTACAAGGCAATTACTCATGGTTTCTGTTTCCATACTTAATCATGGTATATCTGGCTTTCTCACTAATAACTTATGATAGAAAGGTAAATAAATGATAAATGATTTTTCATAGAAAACTTCAAATAAACTGCTATTAAAGAAAATGAAACATAAATATTTCGCCAAAGTGAATTGAGATCAGATATCTAAACTCAATAAAAATTTCATAATCTCTGCTGACCTCGCAGACCATCAATTATTAAAAGTTATTGGTAAGGCAAACATCAGTTACAAATTATTCTTAAATTCAACACCATATGGACTTCAAATTTAATATGTATTTTCTATTTTAATCAAATCAATTACGTCATTTCATGATTTAATAATATACAGAAGCAGATTCAAGAAATCCCAATCTGGATTCAATCCAAAGAGTTGACCTAAAGTGTTCGAGGCTCAACTCTGATATATTAAAGCTGGACAGGACATTTTCATCAATGCTGAAGAAGCCTAGGAGAGTATTAAAGCAGAAAAGCCATGATAATATTAATGTCTAAATATGATATCAATCCATAATATTTCTTGTTAAACTTGACTACTTTCATTTCATAAATAATTTAATCCTCTGATAGCTTGGTATTTATCGGATGAGAAGCAATGTTAAAATATGATTCTAAAGATGCATCTTCTGGATTTTATTGGTCTAAGAAAACTCAAGGGTGTCTATTAATACCATCTTCACATTTCAACATTCCAAAATAATTAAGGGGTTTTGGGGTTTTGGGGTTTTGGGGTTTTGGGG